AAAATTATGATTGCTTCAGGAAGGATTTTTCTCTTTCTTGCCATAAAGAGGGAATGCAACTTTACTGATTAGAGGAACTATGCAATTATGTTCCTCAATCTTATCTGAACCCTATTAGGCATCTAGGTGGTATAGTAGTTAGAAAACTGGACCTGGAGACAGGAAGACCTGAATTCAAATCCTTCCTGTATGACCCTGGGCAAATCACTTCATCTGTCTGCCTCCCAGAGTTGTTGTGGATTAACCGAGACGTGGAAAATGCTTAGCACAGTGCCTGGCACAAATACTATCTATCATCATTGTCATCATCATCATCATCATCATCTTAGTTTCAATCTCCAAAGCAAAAGAGTATAAATCCACCTATAAATTGTTGTTTTTAGCAATTTGAATAATTGGACTCAAACATTTATTAAACATCTATAGATCAAGCACTATACTAGGCACCTGTGAGCCAAAGATCTTGCCCTCAAGAATTTACTTTTCAATCCTCTGCAATCAGGGCAGCCACCAGACACTAAAATTACTCTCTTTAATGTTATTAGTGATCTCAATCATAAATCCAATTACCTTTTCTAAATCCTAATTCTACTTGACTGCAGTTTTTTGACAATGATAGTTCCTACCCCCAGTTCCTGTCTTCTTGGATCTGTCTCTCACTCTCTACTTTTTACTCACTTCTCACTCTGTCTTTTGCTAGTTCATGCCCAGTGTGTCCCAAGGTTCTGTCCTGGGCTACATTTTCTTCTCTTTCCTGGTGATCTCATCAGCTCCCAATGTGTTCAGTTATCATCTCCTTGCAAATGACTCCCAAATCTATCATTCAATCAACAAGTATTTATTAAGGACCTTCTTTTTGTCAGGCAGTATTGACACAAGTACACAGAATGAAACAATCCCTACTCAATCATATGTACACAGTAGTACATAGAAAAATATGTAGAGCATAAATATAAAGTGAATACAAACAGAAATATGTACAAAGTAGTTAAATACAAGGTAGCTTGGAAAGGGTACTAGCAGTTGAAGAAATCAAGAAAAGAATAGGCAAATCTAATTTCTCTCCTGAACTACAATGCCATGTTACTACTCACTGCTAGTTGGACACGCCCACCTGGATAGATATATCAGGGGCATCTCAAACACAAAATACCCAACAGAGAAACATTCCACTACCACCACCAACATCCCCAACACATTTCCCTTCCTACAACTACCCCATTTCTATTAAGGGCACAACTACCTTTCCAGTAATTCCAAGTCATCAGAGTCTTCCTACTACTTCAACCACCATATGAAGTCAATTGTTAAGTCTTATTTACCCTACCTCCACAACTTCTTTCCCATTTTTCTTCTTCACTCTAATCACAGTTCTTCCACTCTACTCTAGTTCAGGTCTTCTACCGCCTTCCATTCATACTACTACAGTAGCCTCCTAATTTGTCTCCCTCCATTCTTTCACCTTTCCAATTCATCCACTACAGACCACCAAATTAATAATTCCTAAAATACTTACCTAACACCACGTCACATACCCCTACTCAAAAATATTCAATGGTTCCCTCCAGGACAAAATACAAAATCCTTATCCTGGCTCCCACCTGCCATTCCAGTCTCACTGATGGAATACGAATAAAGCTGTCCCCAGCCTCACTGAATAGCAGGCATGTCCTGATATAACCACACCACAGGCCCCTGACTCAATCATAGGCCTCACTGAACAGCAGACCCACTGCTCCTACCTAGCCACTGCCCCACCCCACCCCAGACTCAATATCCTAATTTCCTCATATATGCCTCACTGCCCCACCAGAACAGCAGGTATGTCCATGTGATGGAATCCTAGCCACTGCCTCTAGCTAGCCACTGCCCCCAGACCCAATTCTTCTCATATTTCTCACAGAAACAGCAGGTGTGTCCATGAACTCATATTTCTCACAGAAACACCAGGCATTCCATACATTCAACCACAAACACAACCATCTAGTCTCAGATAGGATAGCCAGTCAATTAGAAAGCAGCACTACCAGGATTGCCCGAGCAGGATGTAGAACCCAAAATGATAGAAAGGACTTCCCCTAAGTAGGTACTTGCGCAATAACAGCAAAAGCTGTCCTTCAGGTGAACTTATGACATAGAGAGGCTTATTACAATATCATTATGATATGTTAATCCCCCCCCCAATTTGGACTTTTCTGTATGCATTATGGGTAATTGCATGTGCAGTACCACCGAGGCTGGGACCTCTCTCTGTTACCTAATCCCTGACAAACCTCTCTTGCCTTTTTCATAATTTTGGTTGTGTAACCAGCATCATTATACTATGAAATTGCATGTCTTGTCTTACTGAAGTTGCCAGTTCTTCTTGGAACCCAGCCTGATTCCTGAGAGGTATTACTCTCAATAAATGCCTTTGCTTGGACTGGAGATGGTCCCCAAAACACAGCATGAAACCGCATTATTATCCTTTGCAAAATTCTAGTCAAACAAGCTTGCTACCCTTTTCTCCTATACATAGCATTCTATTTCCCACCACTTAAATACCTTTGCATAATTGCTCTCCCAAGTTTGTAAAGCATTTCATCCCTCATCTCCTAGCTTCCTTCCTTCCTTCACAGCTCAAGTGCCCCTTCTACATAATGGGTTTCCTGATCCATACCCACTTCAGCCTCTGCTCAGTGATTGGCACCCTCATTCTTGGAATTTGTTGTGGTTCAGGCATTTTGGTCACCTTTGACTCTTCATGATCCCATTTGGGGGTTTCTTAGCAAAAATACTAGAGTGATTCACCATTTCCTTCTCTAGCTCATTTTACAGATGAGAACCTTGGAATTACTTTATATCTGATTAAATGTATAAATGTATTTTCCACCACCAGTACCCCCAAAACTCAAACTCTTTAAGGACAGATTGTTTTTTTTTTTTTTATTGTCATCACCTCCCAATTCTGTAAAAATATTAAGGACTTAAAGTTTGTTGATATGTATTGAATTGATGAAGAGAGTGAATACTCCAGTCATGGAGCAGAGGCATAAGAGATGACAAAAGAAGAGTTGTTTGGGGAAGAGATAGTAGTTCAGTTTGGCTGGGATATAAAATCACTGAAGAGTAAATAAAATGCAATATTATTTACTGGAAAAGGGGCAGCAGCCTGACTGTGGAGAGAAAGCCTTAAATACCAGGATAAGAAACTAGTATTTCATCTTATAGGGGAATGGGGAGCCAATAAAGGTTTTTGACCAAAGGATGATTAACATTATCATCACAGCAATACCTTAGGAATATTTTTGGAATATATATGCAATATATATATCGTGCGTGTGTGTGTGTGTGTGTGTGTGTGTGTGTGTATACACAAACAGAGGGAGAGAGGGGGAGAGAGGAAGAGGGAAAATTAATTCCAGATTCATGACTTTGGGGCAAATTGCTGTTTCCTTCTAAGCCTGCTTTTTGACCTGTGAAATTGATATAATCCCTAACAGGGTTATATTGGGGATCACATATACCAAACACAGAGTTACTGTTCTTATTCGTAAATTACAGGTGCTGGAGCTCCTACTAGCATGCCCATCTGACAACCCAAAGCCACTCCAGCCAATGGTATAACCTATATCAGCCCTCTAGTTCTACCCGATCTGAATTTGTTTCCTTTTTCTTATACTAACAAAACAATCCTCCCTTGATCAAAGAGATGCCACAGGACTTGACTACCTGCACTCTAAGAAGTCTACCATTCTCTCTCCTTCCCTAAAGAGAGTAACTGCCCCATCCCACACATCCCATCCACAAGTGTGATGTATTAAAGGAGAGTTTCCACAGATCAAAGGCAAAACCAAAAATGCTCAGAGGGAGAGGTGGAGGCTAAGATAAGTGGTATTCATGCAGGGGTGCCAGCATAGAATGAAATGTGGTAGCATGGAAAGAACACTAATCTAAGGTTGAGTCCAGTCTTCATCAGTACCTGTATAACAATTATAGTTCTTATTCTATAGCAATTAAGTGTATAAAGACCTTTTCTCACAAAAGCCCTGGGAGCACATTATCTGAGCATCACAAAACAGTACAGCAACTGTTTGTTCTGAAGTTTTCCAGGTAAACTTTGGACCTCAAAGTTTGAATTAGCTGTATACTACCCAGTAATAACTACTGAGAGCTATTGAAAAACTATTGAAAACAATACCTAATCCAGGAGGCAGCAGGTTGCACAGTGGATAGTGTTTGGCCTGGAGGTAGGAAGAGCTGAGTTTAAATCTGTCTTCACTTACTAGCTGTGTAACCCTCAGCAAGTCACTTAACCTCTGCCTCAGTTTCCTCAGCTGTAAAAATGGGGATAATAGCAGCACCTACTTCTAAAGGTTGTTGTGATGATTAAATGAGATATTTGTAAAGCTCTTAGCACAGTGCGTGGAATATAGTAGGTGATATATAAATGCTTAGCCCCTTCCATTTCCTTCTAGAATTTGATGTTACTTCTGCCTGTAATATTAAGGTTTTAGTCTGTTCCTGTAATCATCCAACTTTTTTTGTCCAGACTTGTGATTTCAGCAGTAGAAAGCTCCTAATAAACTCCATCCACCAATGCATATCTCCAGTTAGGGAGTTGCAGACCGATGGTAACTTAGCCCTTGTGTGGCAGATTCTGGATTTGAACTCCTATCGACCTGTCACCAGCCTAGTTCTATATCCATCATAAATAACAACACTTTGCCTGTTCCGATTCCTCACCTTCATGAAATCGTTAAGACTTTTTGCTGTGGCTTACAGAGTTCTGAGGCTACATTAATCAAGAATTCTATCAAAGGGTATTATAGGTAATAGCAATCGAGAAGCTCTCAGTACTCCCACCGGGATATTTTAAAGTAGAAGACTAAAGTTTAACAACAGTACTTGTTAGTACTTAAAAAAAAAAGCCAACAAAAGATTCAGTTGCCTCAAACAAATTGCTTGATAAACAAGGACGTTCAGAACATGGATGCTTCCCCCAGGGCTCTCGAAGTTACCTGGCCACACGTCCTCCTGTACTGCCCATTTTCAGTTAGCAGCCCTAGCACAGTTCTTTGAGGGGGGTCCTGGACGGGCTGAGATCTGGCAACCACCTGACAGATCTCCTGGCTTCGGGCTGCGGGGGCCAGAGGAATCCTGCCCTTGGAGATGTGCTGCGATGCATTGCCTTAGTCTCCCCAGGCCACTGTGAGCAGGGAGAGATAGATAAGCCAGATAATCCACCCTCTCCATTTGCCTCCCCACCGCCCAATACAAAGGTATAGGAGTCCTTAGCAAGCCATGGAGACAGGCTTTCCTTCCTCCAGTAAAGCAACTACTGAAGTAAGGAGAAGCAGCATTAAAAGTCCGGAAAGTGTTTTTGAGCAAAGCACACTTGAATATGTATGTCTCTTGCAGTCCTCGATGAGAACTGGGAGAAGTTTTGAGAGAGACTTCCACAAAGCACATCCTCCTAGAAAGAGCCTCCAGTCTAGAAATCGTTTCACAACTCAAGGGTACTAAATGTTAATTTTATTTGAACGTCTGTCTAAACCTAGAACTTGGGAGTACTTTCTTACCGCATGTCTTTCCCTCCCCAACCCCGAGAGCCCTCTTCCACACTCCCGAACTCAAGGCAAACAATACATTACAACGTGAAGGTCACGTCCGAACTTGGACACCGGCGTGGCACCGCTCTTCGGCCCTCCTCCCACCGACCAGACAGGCGATGCCCAAACCAGCTTGGAACCCGCAGCGCTCGCTGGTCCCGCCTGTATATATAGACCTTCCAATTAACCAGTGCGCTCCGGGATTGGGGCTGGAAGGGCTGCGGGTGGGGTTGGGAGAGTGGGGTGGGGGAGGGGAGGGGAGAGAAGGGGCGGGGAGTGTTAATAGATTCCAGCCGGAGCGCTCAGCTCCAGCTCCTTGCAGAAGCTGTCGGGAGAGCTGAGCAATAATTACTTTCAAGCCACCCGCGTCTGTTGAATCGGGCCAATCGAAGGCACGACCGGTCCTCGAGGTAGCGGCTTCCATGCCAACCGAAGCGGGCGTGCTGGGAGCCAGAGGAGCATCGCCATGGAGACCCCAGCGGACACGCTCTCCGATGACCCAGGGCTACCCTCGGGCGTTCTGGCTCGGGAAGCCGCGCTAACGGGCGGCGGGCGGCGGCTGCGGCCCGTCCCCCGCGCTGTCCCAGCCCGGTGCCTTCCCGGAGACGGGCGCCACCCGCCCCCCCCGGCCCGGGACCGCCAAGCCGCAGGCTTGGCCCGCCGCCCAGCCTCCTCCTTGTCCGGGGTGGTTGCGCTGCGATGGAAGAGCGCTCCCCCTTAGACCCCAGCCCTAAGGCTTTCTGGAGCTTTGGAAGGCGCAGCCTCTGTGATGAGCCCGTTCCCAGCAACAGCTGCGAATTCCCTCCTTAACGTATTTCCCTCAGCCTGCCCCCGAGGCCCGAGAAGAGGAGAACTTTGGCTTGGAAGAGCTACGCGAGGCCCCCGAGGCCGTGGGGCCTGGGCCAGCCCCGACTGGGAATGCCCGGGGCGCACCTTAGCAGCCCCGTTTGGCCAGTTAAGCTCAAGCACCTCCCCCAACCCCCCCCAAGTCTGTTCTCCCCACCCGACCTCCGGGACCCACACACCTATCCATCCTCCTAGGGAGCAGGGAGGCAGCAGTTTAGCCAGGGGACTCTCCGTCCGTGTCAGTCCCATGCATTCAAAGCGATTTCGGGTGTTGGATAAGGTGCCTGGCGCCTAAACCCTCCGGTGCCATGCCCGTGCTGGTCCGCGGGGATGCGAAGGCCTACAGTTTAGGGGCTGCACGAGGCCTTTCTCCCGACGCATCCTGGCCCTCACAGCGCAAAGAGGCACCTGGAACTCAGCGACAGTGTCCCCAGGAACAGGAAGGAACGAAGGGGACAGGAACGAGGCTTGGAACTCTCCGTGACCCTGGGGGGGGGGGCGGAGAGAGGAGAAGACCAGACAGTGGTCCACAACCGGAACTCCAAAGTGCAGGAGTTGGACTGGCGAGCCTTCAAGGTGAGAAGCAGCAGTAATAATAATAACAACAATAATAATAAATAACAAGAGTAGTAAGTAATACTAATAGCCAGCATTTATATAACATTCTGTATGTATTGTCTTATTTGATCTTCACAACTCTGGGCGACAAGTGCTATTATTATAGCTACTATCTCTATTTTACAGATAAGGAAAGTGAGGCTGAGAGATGTTACCGAGACTTGCCCAGGATGGCACAACTAGGAAATGTCTGTGGCAAGATTCATGACACCAGGGTTAGCTGTCTCTCCACTAGGCCACCTAGCTATTCATGTCCTCATTAATTTTTGAGAAATAAGCTTGCAAAATCTTGAAGATTTTTAGTTCTTGCTAGTATTTCCAAAACAAAACTATCTGTCCAGATTGGCAGGGTACCTGTCTTTCTAAGGAGTGTGCTTTCTTTTTTTTTAATGTTTTTATTCAACTTAATTATTAAATGACTCATTTCATCTTAATCTGTGTGGTGTAGGTTCACTTTAGCAAGAAGTTTACCCACCAGCCTTATTTTTAGTTGTGTTTTTTTTTAAATATTTCCTTGGGAATCTCTAAGTATCTTATTCTCTGATGGGCTTCCGATGTTTTTATATGAAACAATGCAATACTAAAGTCTTATGCAAAAGATAATGGGCTCCAAAACATTTTTACATGAGTCACTATTGTTTGAAGGAGGAAGAATTAGAAGGGATCTATCCTGAAGTGTATGCTGAGTATTATGGTTCACAGACACAAATTTTGAAAGGAATATGAAATCAGACTATACTTTTCCCCTCCTGAATTCCAAATGATAAACTAACTTTAGACAAATAAAAACTTATTCTGATATTAGAAAGAAAACCGTGTTTTTGAATCCTGGCTTGAGATCAGCATCAAGCTTCAGTGGAAATAGCAATCATTAACTGAAGTAATTGGAGAGAGCATTGGTTACCGTTTAGTTGTAGCAACAGATACTAAGTGGGACTTTAATGATTTGCTATTGCTAGGTTTCTGTGTCTAGGAGTTTCCCTCTTCTACTCCACAGAGAGCTGTTCTAGGGCTTCCTGGGCATCAACCACCCCATGAAATTGTTGTGATTTCTAGGGACGCTGAGTGCCCCCAGCAGGGACTTCTGGGCAAGCAGCTTTCCTTGTGAACTCCCCCAGAGACTGACAACTATTCCTTAAAGAGATTAGGAAGGTTTTCCAGAATAGGAAATCTGCTGAGGCAGATTTTAAACACACCCATCTGTTTCCTTACAAATGATTCAGAGCCTTTGATCTGCCCAGGCAAACGTAGTGTATCACCATGTCACTTTTTTGTGTGCGTGTCCAAATAAAAGAGGAAGACTATTACAGAGTTCTGTACCTCTGACATAAACCTCATGGTTTAAGGTCTTCTTTTAAGAACCCAAGTGAGAACAGGACATAACCTACAACAAACATTCCTATAGAAGCAGAAATTAGGACTGTATGTTCACCGAACAAGAATCATTAATTCATTCAACATTTATTAAGGATGGATTCCATGCTGGAAGGAGTTCAGAGAAATAATCTAGTCCAATATTTCCTTTTTGTATGCTTCTAAAAATATCTGTAAATTTGTCATAATACCCATAATGGAAATTCATCTACTATCACCACCATCCTTGTCCACATTTACCCTCAGCCAGTACTAATCCACTATTATCTGTCCATCCCTAGCCCCAAATCCCAATTTTATTATGCATGTGTGCTCATGATACTCACAACAGCCACTTTCCCTACTCATATCTCAATCATCCTGGTTAAAAATTGGCTAAGGGAAGTGAGAACACAGGGCAAAAATCAACCAATTGACAAGCATTTATGAAACATCTACTTTGTGCCAGGCATTGGGCCAAGCAAAGGGTCCCTGCTCTCAAAGAGCTTAAGTTCTGTTAGAGGAGACACATGTGCACAAATAAGCAGATACAAATTAAAAGCAACATAAATTTATTTGGGAGGAGGGCTCTAGAAACTGGAAGTATGAAGAAGGCCTCCTGAAGGTGTCACTTGAGCAGTTTTTAAAGAAACAAGGGATTCTGTAAACCAAAGTATTTTTGGATTATGCCAATATCCTGGAAAAGTAGTTGGAACCAGTGATTAATCTAACTCCTGCCCACACTCAAACCAGACCATATCTAAACCACAGCCAACAAATCAGAGTACCATATTTCTAAAGATTTTTGTATGCCTTCATTTTTTCTTTAGTAATTCAAGCTAATTTAATAAACCAATGACCAAGCCAGATGTAAAGATCAGCACAGCATTGAAAGTATTGCTGCAGGTTCTTTTAAGGTGTTCCAATAAGCAATATGGAATACTGTTTGTTCTTATTTATAAAGCACATCTAATTATAGGAATATCGAAATGACATTTAGTATTTAGATCATTTCCTTATTGTGGTGTCCCACAATTTTTAAAGTTCATTGAAAGAATAAGATGAACTAGACACATATGAGCACAATTCAGCTCATAGAATCGATGCCAAAGTTCATTGTAGTCAGCCTATGATCACCTCTATTTCAGTTTGTCCTTCACAATATCTTGTGAATTTAGATATTCATAAGAATAAATAAAAATATTGAACTAGCACATTTAAGGAATGGTCTGTTTCATTTTTCCCAGTGCTGACTATTGCATTACACTTAGCAGTGAGAGCTGGAAAGGATCTCGGCTGCCAGGTAGTCCAGCCCCCTCCTTGTACAGATAAGGTAGCTGGGGCCCAGAGAGGTTACGTGATTCGCACAAGATTACAGAGGCAGTAAATAGCAGAGCCGGGAATTTGAATGTAGGTCTGACTTGAAATACAATACTCTATGAACACATTGTCTCTCTTGTACAGCTATTTATTTTAAAATTATGCTGTTAAGAGGCAGCTAGAAGGCACACACAGTAGAAAGAGCACTGGCCCTAGAGTCAGGAGGATGTGAGTTCAAATCCAGTCTCAGACACTTACTAGCTGTGTGACCCTGGGTAAGATGCCTAAGTGGGCAATGCATTTATTAACTTCCTAGCTTTCATATTCCTGGTCCAGTTTCTCCCAGAATACTCTCCTGCCTATTGGCTAATGCTTGATGCCCTGAGTGGATGAAGTACTCAACTTAGAGTAAGGAAGATCTTGAATCCAGTCTCAGACATTTACTAGCTCTTGGATTCTGGGCAAGCCATTTGACTGCTCTCAGCTTTAGTTTCCCACTCTGTAAAATGGGGATAATTATAGCACCTATCTCACAGGGTTATTGTGAGGATCAAGTAAGATAAAATATGTAAAGTTCTTTGCAAACCTCAAAATGCTATATAAATACTGGCTATTGTGATTAATGCCTAAAATCAAAATGATAATATTTTTATAAGTAAAAAGTAAATTTTTAATAGTTGGCATATATGGTAAATATCTTAGCTTTAACTACCTTAACTTTAGCAACCCCAGGCTATTTAGTTCTCCTTTCTGTTTTTTAAATTTTATTTTTAATTAATGGAATAAAACAAATATTTCCATAACATAGTAGAATAAAAAAGATGCTTGTGCATGAAACTGCAACTCTACTATGTATAACTTGCTATTCTTTCAAATATACAACAAAATTATCATGGAAATTTATTTTGTTTTCTTCCCTCCCCCTGCCCTAGAAATGGCCTTTTCTTCTTCTTTCCTGATCCTTTTTTCTTTTTTTTAACTTTTGCTTTGGGAGTCTGTTTACTCATGAGACTAAAATAGAAAATTTTAACAGAAGTTTAAGAGAACAACAAAAATGTATATATTGGTTCACAATCTGATATTCATGAAACATACCAGCTAGATTACATTTTAGTAATTCATCGATTAATGGCATTACTCTTATAATTACTAAAATCTGCTTCAGGTATATATAATGAAAATATTTTCCTTTGCATTTTTTTGCTGTAGGTACAGTACTCTGGAGAAATTGTACTAATTCCCTAAGTAGATGTATCTATGTACATATATACACAAGTATCTATAGCTCTACATATGTTTTATATTCAGCTGCAGATATACACATATACATGCATGTTTACAAAGTGGTACATGTGAACAGATTGTCACATACACAAACACACACACACACACACACACACCCCTGTGAAACATCAACACTGTAAATTACTGGTCAGATCCCTCCTCATTTGTCATGGGCAGCACTGGTTCCCCTTACTAACCTTGATTATGTGAAGCTTTTAGCTCTTTCGGGGTCTCATCTTCCATTCTTCCAATAGTCAGGTCCATCCACTTGTCCATCCAACAAAAGAGCTGGTGGTGAAAGTTGGTAAATATTATTTTTTCTTGTTTTTGAATAAAGTTTTCTACTTTACTCTGCAGACCCCACTACTTGAATTTGATGTTTACTAACTTGTAAACACACATTTGGGGACAGTCTTGGTTATTTGCCTGGCCATTCTTCCATTTGGGTCCCAAAGGTCCTCTCTTCCTCTTGACTGACTGGAATAATGCTGGGTCTGCCTCCAGTTTGCAACCCGCAGGTTCTACTTGACTTTGGTGTACAATATCAATATGGACAATTTCAACCATCTTCCATGTGTTAGGATCTAAATTATGTTCATTTTCTGTTGTTCCTAAGTCTGATTTGTGCCAGGTTTCAATTTTTATAAAGAAGTTGTCTTTATATATTCATTTATCACAATTGTTCTACATTGGGGATATGCATTCCCAGCTTTCTCATGAAATACCGGGAGACTTCAGGAGCAATCATCCTGACCAGCCCAGGTACTTTACTCTTTAAGTGGTAAATCTTGTATGTGTGCTGCCCCTTCTCTCCATCCTTCTCATAAGGTTCATTTGTTAAGACTTCAGTGCCTTTCCTGCCTCCTATTTCATTTTTGCTGTCTTCAACCACAGAGTAAAGTTGTCCAACCTGGTATTCTTGAACTGAACATAGTAAAACCACACAGAATTCCTTAATCAGCACCATCGTTCCTTCACTGCTGCTGTCCTGGCTGCTATTGCCACCCCTGGCCACTTACCCAGCCCTGCCTCCCCATCCCACTGCCTGTACCATTCCACCCTCCCACGGGGGTAGGGGTTAGAGGGGTGGTCAGGTCCCCACATTAGTACAGGCCCTGCCCCCTCCCATAGCTGGCACCACATTGGTAACATTTGTAAATAAGTAACATGTACAGAGAGGTGACAAAAGTGACATTTAGTTTTAGGATACATAGATGGCATTTCCTTCAGCTCATTTTACAGATGAGGAAACTGAGGCAAACAGTGTTAAGGGACTTGCCAAGGTCACACAGCCAGTGTGTCAGAGGATTCAAACCCAGTTCTTTTTCACTCTGAAATCAGTGGTAAACCATGCTGCTTCTTAAGCAATAATAATATTGAAACGTATATAGTACTTTAAAGTTTGCAAGGCACTTAATATAATAGACTAACAACCCTGTGAAATAGGTTCCATGGGTACAATTATGTCCATTTTACAGATGAGAAACTGAGACATAGAAACATACCTAGTAAGTGTCAGAGGCAAGAGATGAATCCAGGTCTTCCTGACTGCAAGTTCAGCATGCCCTCTCCTTTATCCACACTGCCTCTCTAGGTAGCATAAGTATATTTCTTCTCTCTTAGAAATGAAAGACTGGGGCCCAGATTGGAGAAATATATTACCAAAAGTCATATACCATCCACCTTATCTCTAATCTCATTTCTTGAGAAATGAGACAACTGGGGAGGAGCCGAGACACAATGGCCCATCCCCTTTTGAAGACTTGTTCTTATCAGTATTGTCTTGTTCCTACTATGAAAAATTGTCTTTAGTTGCAATTATCTAATGACCAGGTGGGATTTATACCAGGAATGTAGGGCTAGTTCAATATTAGGAAAACTATGAGCATAATTGACTATATCAATAACAAAACCAACAGAAATCATATGATTATCTCAATAGATGCAAAAAAAGCCTTTGACAAAATACAACACCCATTCCTATTAAAAACACTAGAGAACTAGGAATAAATGGAGTTTACCTCAAAATGATAAATAATATTTATCTAAAACCATTGGCAAGCATTACCTGTAATGGGGATAAGCTGGAAGCCTTCCCAATAAGATCAGGGGTGAAGCAAGGATGCCCATTATCACCTCTATTATTCAATATTGTACTAGAAATGTTAGCTATAGTAATAAGAGAAGAAAAAGAAATTGAAGGAGTTAGAATATGTAATAAAGAAACAAAACTATCACACTTTGTAGATGCATGATGTTATACTTGGAGAATCCTACACAATCATCTGAAAAACTATATAAAAACTTTAGCAAAGTTGCAGGATACAAAGTAAACCCACAAAAACATCAACATTTCTACACATTACCAATAAAGTCCAGCAGAAAGAGATAGAAAGAGAAATTCCATTTAAAATAGTAATAGACAATATAAAATACTTGGGATTCTACCTGCCAAGACAAACCCAGGAACTATAAGAACATTATAACAAAACACTTTTTCACACAAATAAAGTCAGATCTAAACAATTGGGAAAATATTAATTGCTCATGGGTAGGCTGAGCCAATGTAATAAAAATGACAATTCTACCTAAATTAATCTTTTTATTCAGTGCCATACCAATCAAACTATCAAAAATTATTTTATACAGCTAGAAAAAATAATAACAAAATTCATCTGGAAAAACAAAAGATCAAGCATATCAAGAGAATCAATTCAAAAAATGTGAAGAAAGGTGGTCTAGTCATACCGTACTTCAAACTGTATTATAAAGCACTAATTATCAAAACAATCTAGTACTGGATAAAAAATAGAGTAGTGGATCAGTGGAATAAATTAGAAAATGTCAACTGGGCAAAGCCCGCCCCTCAAAATGCAAAGGAATTCAAGCTGAGTTAAAAGCAGAAAAGTTTTATCAGAAGGAAAATCAGACATTAGTGCTGAGGCACCCCAGTACAAAGTACAAAGGAACCCACAGCCCAGGAGAGACTGGGGAAATTTATTCTTGAAAACCACAAAGAGGAGGTTCAAGGAGCAGTTGAGAAAAAGAACAATCTTTCTGAGAAACAGGTGGACATAGAAACAGAATGTTTTGCAGGAACAGTTGACTTCCACAGTATACACTGCATTACAATAAATGACCATAATAATCTAGCATATGATAAACCCAAAGATCTAAGCTTTTGGAAGAAGATTTGTTATTTGACAAAAACTGCAGGGAAAACTGGGGAACAGTATGGCAGAAACTAGGTATAGATAAACATCTTACACCATATACCAGGATAAGGTCAAAATGGGTACATGAATTTATACATAAAGGGTGATCCATAAACAAATTAGGAGAGTACGGAATAGTTAATTTGTCAGATCTATGGATACAGAAAGAATTTAGGACCAAAGAAAATATAGAGAGCATTACAAAATATAAAATATAATTTTGATTTTATAACATTAAAAAGTTTTTGCACAAATGAAACCAATGTAACCAAAACTAAAAGGAAAGCAGAAAACTAGGGAATTTTTTTTTTGCAACAAGTACCTCTGATAAAGACCTCATTTCTCAAACATATAGAGAACTGAGTCAAATTTTTAAAAATACAAGTCATTCCCCAATTGACAAATGGTCAAAGAATATGGATAGGCAGCTTTCAGACAAAGAAATCAAAGCTATCTATAATCATATAAAAATGCTCTAAATCACTGTTGATTAGATAAATGCAAATTAAAACAAATCTGAGATACCACCTCATACCTATCAGACCAGCTAATATGACAAAAAAGGAAAATGTTGGATGTTGTAGGGGATGTGGGAAAACTGAGACACTAATGCACTGTTGGTAGAGTTGTGAAGTGATCCAACCATTCTGGAGAGCAATTTGGAACTATGCCCAAAGGGCTTTAAAACTGTGCATACCTTTTGACCCAGCAATACCACTGCTAGGTCTATATCCCAAAGACACAAAAAAGGGAAAAGGACCTATTTATACAAAAAATTATAGCAACTCTGTGGTGGCTAAGATTTGGGAATCAAAGGGATGCATTTCAATCGGGGAATGGCTGAACAAGCTATGGTATATCATTGTGCTGTAACAAATGACAAGCAGGATGATTTTAAAAAACTGGAAAGTCTTACATTGTGGCAATTAAAAAGTTTGACAGACGTAATTTCTGAGTAATTTAGTAAGTTAATGAGTAATTTAATCATTTTATTAATAATGCCAACATTTTAATTAAAAAGATGGTAATTTGATCATCTCTCTTACACCAAAGATGATCATGGCAACCAGGCTCATAGCTTATATGCTCATTGAAGAGGGATGTTCCCAAGGGTGGCAATCAACTCTGATTGGTTAACAATTAATAAGAGAATGAATATAACAATGAGGGGCTAAACTTATTCAAATTAACTTTAATTATGTTATTTACTTCTAAATTACCCTCAGCCTTGGGCAATCTATTCAAAGAATTTATCCCCACCATAATCTGAAAAGAGCACAATGGCTTCCCCACCTGGGTGGGTTCTGATAGAGGAAAAGTTTAGCTCAACCTTCAGAGACTGAGGTTTTGAAATGAGAATAAAAGAAAAAGGGGGAAATCTGAATCTCCCCAAATCATTGGTTATTAATGATCATTTCGCTTAATATGAACTGATGCAAAGTGAAATGAACAGAACCAGGAGAACATTCTGTGCAGTAACAGCAGTATTGTATGATGAAGAACTGTGAATGACTTAGCTATTCTCAGCAATACAATGATCCAAGACAATCCCAAAGGATTAATGATGAAGCATACTATCTACCTCCCAAGAAAGAACTGATATTGTTTAAATACAGACTGAAGCATGCTATTTTTCACTTTCTTTCTTTCACTTTTTTCCTTTTATTTGAGCCTTCTTGAACAAAATCATGTCTATCCTGATGATCCTCAAATCTGCTTATCCAGCCCCAACCTTTGTCCTGACCTCCAATCTGACATCTCTGACTACCTATTGAACACCTAGCAGCAGAGGTCCATAGACATCTCAAACTCAACTGTCCAAAACTGAATTCATTATTCAGGCTGTCCCCTGAAATCTTCCATTCCTTCTAACTTCCTCATTACTGCTGAGAACCCCACCCCCACCCCACCAACCTGTCAGTGTCCCAGGCTGACACCCTAAGTGTCATCCTCAGCTCTTCACTCTTTCTTACCCTCCTGAATCCAAACTATTTCCAAGGCCATGGATTTTACCTTTCATTACATCTCTTCCCTATTACCCCTGCTCTCTTCTGACATTGCCTCCATCCTG